TTTTCTTCTCAAGAACTGGATTGAGTTGTCAAATTGCTGCAGTGATCTATTTGGTAAAGCTGCGCAAAGAACAATTGCACGTTGGTGGATGATGGATGGGGTAATGATTGTCAGTCAGAGACTCAGAGTGAGTTGGTTGATATATTGATTGAATACTTTGGATTGAAAGGCAGAGACAAGAATGAGGGCAGCATCTCCTTTTAAAGGGGACAATCGTGAGCAGTAAGGCTCTAGTGGTCACACACACACACCTTCCCTATACTTTTTCTTCATTTTCTCGTTCCTTCGAAGAATATACCTTTCCTGTTCATGTTACCTATACCTTTTCTTTATATACAATATACAGGTACATATAAAAAATGCACATGATAATTGATCTTGGTATTCATTTAGGCACAAAACTTTGCCAAACCTTTTCAAAAGCAAGAAATTTTTTCCTATACCAAATGAAAAGGGATAGTCATTTGTAGTACCAACAAAAATAGGGGTCACTGTTCATTATTACTCTTTAATGGGCAAAAATGTGGAGACAATTTGGGGCGTCAACATCCCCTTCCCTCGTCCCGTGTCACCACAACTTACATGGGCATGCATGAGATGAGATCCCATCTCTGTGGGTGCCAGATTCCAAAGGTTTCATAAGTAGATTTCCACACGTGGGCAGTCAGCAGCGGGCAGCGATTGTCACGGTTTCCAGATCTGGAGAGTTGGAGACAACGAGAGATGGAAAACGTTGGAGCTCCGTCGCGGCTAAATTTATAGGACTACTAATTCGCGTTTACTCTTACCACCAATTTCTTTTTTGTCATTTTCTTTTCTTCATTGCTGTATCACTGAGGAAAACCCGCAGAACTCAGGTGGATAAATAAAAAGTAAAATTGCGATAAGGAATTCCGTAAAGTAGAAACAAAATTATCAGTCAATTCCTTGAGAAATCGTAATTTTATTAATCATCAGTCAATTCCTTCCTCCTGTCACACCTTTGTCGGCACAGTAAAAAAAGATCTTCAATTTTGTCGGGATTGAAATCAAATGATCTTAGAGAAAGAACAAATAAATGGATTTCAGAAGAAATTTATTTTTTCTTTTCTAAGTATTTGATGGTCAGCCTTTCTTGGTCCAATTTTGCATCTGGTTTAGATTGATGTGTGTCCCATATGTGACCTCTAAACTTGTGAATTGTTGATTGAATTAGTAAAAACAGATTTATAAGGCGGGCACTGGGAAGGGGACAATTGGAGGAGGAAAATAAATATATGCCAAGTGATGAGATTAGGTTCGATAAGGACCGGGGCCTGAAGGTTATGTGCATTTTGTACACGATGTAACTCTGTTTGTGCATGATGTGTAACTTACTTTCAACAATGTGTAATTTTGAACAAAATTTTAAAGGTCTCACATATGTTGTTAAAAACGAGTTATAAGATGAAATCTGAACCGTACAATTTTTTTTTTTTGTCACATCTTGACCATGAACTGCTCAGGAACGGTCCGCCTGATAACCGTCATGCCCCAAATTCGTTGGATAACAGGTCAACAGGAAGTTTGACAATGGAGTCTTGGATTGCGGGCTTGGAAGATTAGTTATTGTTGAATTCTTGAGATGGCGCTGGCGGTTGGTGGCTTTGTTGGGGCAGCAATACATATGATCGAGAGCCGGAAATTTTTGGAGTTGGAACGGGAAAGGAACAAAGGTTCTGGGCCTACACTAAGATTGGTTGTCACTAATCTGATGAAGGGTAAAGTTGTCAATTGAATCGAAATTTGCTCAGCATCCTAATTTTTGCTCTAGCAATATCACCGGTGGTTAAAATATATTTTAAATGTCATATTTTTTTAAAAAATATAAGATTCATTGGAAAAAGTAAATAAATATAAGGAAGGTTAGACAAAATTAAATAAAAAAATTATATAAATGTAAGATAGGATGATAATTATAGTACGTGTATATACATGATATGTTAGATAAATTTTAAATGTACTAACAAATGTCTAACAAGCACGCATTAGAAAGACCCTTTTAATAATCGACTTATACTCAACTAAGGACATGTTAATTTGATGGTACTGCAAAATCACTCAATTGATTATAGTGAAATGATTTTTTATTCACGAATAGGATCGAAAGATGAATAAAATTACATGATACTTGAATCGAATTCACTTTGATAAGAATTCGTTCGATCTTGATTCACAAATTAGTCATGCTAACTTTCAAATTCAATAAAAAAAAACTCGTTCAAAATCGATTCAGTAAATAAATAATTCAAATTTGAACAATATTTTAAGTTTATTAAAATAATTAAACAAGTTTGAATACTAGAGTATTCTATTTGATTAAATTCATTATTGACACTACTACTATCCACCAGGTTGCCTTTTCGGAGTAATTTAACATAAGCCACGTGTGTGTCCTAATACTACGAGTGTCTTTTTCAACAGGACGGATTTTATTTTTATTTTATTTATGTGAATCTCACAATTCCCAAATTATTCATCTGGACAAAAGTGCAGTTACGGGTGTGGTTCAAAAGTCAATGAGGAGTTACGGACCACTCAGCCCTCCGCCAATATTAATTACAGGCACTTTAACTAACCCTCGGTTTAGTTAATCTTTCTTGTCCACTCGATCGAGATTGTTAGTTAATCACTATCCGGGCTCCATTTAATGAGTGTTCAGACGGCGAGCACTCATCGAGATTGTTAATTAGGTTCGATTGTTAATTTTTTAGTGCATTCACATAATAAGTTAAATATAATACTAAATTTTATTTTAATAAGTGCTCACGGAGCACTTCTTAGAAAAACTCAATTATTAATAATTGATTAACAACTCTTTCAAAAAATTCATTTCTTGTATTATAAATAGTCCCTCCATCTTACTTGATAGTCCTGTTTCTTTTTTCACACAGTTTAAGAAAAATTAGTTAACTTTAAAAGTAAATTTAGATTGCTATTTTCCTAAAATACACTCACATTAAATATGGTACAACTTTATGGGAACTTGAATTGATGGTAAAAAAAGAATCAACTCTCATTAAATGAGGTAGGTTTATAGTAACAACTACTTACATTGAATAAGGGTATTTTAGAAAAATTAAAATACAACTACATTCTTCAATTGGAAAGTGAACTACAATTTGGGATAGATGAAAAAGGAATACAAGACTATCAAAGTGGTATCAAAGTGGGGACGGAGAGAGCATGTTTTTCAATTACTTTCTTATTTTTATTATCAATTTTTTATTTCATACACATCAAATATTTAAAAAGTGGTACATCATTATTCCCAAAAAATCATCCAAATAATCTTCAATCCAAATAACAAAACTGTGTTTATTTTGACGCATGTTGTGCATGCCATGAATGACTGGGAAATACTACTATCATTTATCCATCGATGCCAAGACGCCTGTTGAGGGAAAGAGTTAAAAGACAAAAAAAGGAAAAATGCCAATTAGGCTGCTGTAATCCATGTTAAGTTAATATCCCGCTAACATAAAAATTGATGGTGCGGCAAAATTTGGATTAATTTACAAGGTCAGATCTACCCAACTTTTTTTTTTTTCTTTTTAAATCTGCCCAATCAGGGGGTCACCTATGACCTACCTTCAAACTTACAGAAAAGGGTCAAAACTTGCCAAGATGATTAGGCCGAAATTCGGTGAAGAATAGCTTTCGCAGGTGAGGAATTTCTCTGGACGAGCGAATCCAATGGTTGACTTCCCATCTTCATGTTTTACCAAAAAAAAATAAAAATACAAATGCTTCTAATGTATTCAGTTTTTTGTATTTCTTTTGGTAAAGTAATTGAGAATTAGAAGAAGGATTTTTTCTAACGTAAAGGTGATGCTTTAAGGACACTACTGCAAACAACAGATTCAAGTCTATGCAATTGATGATAGCTCCTGGCAGATCATGTTTTTTTTTTTTTTTTTTAAATTTAAAAAATATGGTGCCAACCCAAGTGCGTGTCCTTAGGATAAATGGATAATATGATCCCAAAACCAAATGTGTGTTTAAAGATTAGTTATTATTCATTTATTTTTTATTAGTATTTTTTTTTTATCAATTATCATCTCTACTCCTACTCTTACTCTAATTACGGGAAGATTCAACTGAACCTACGAAAAATCGATGGAGATAGAACCACCACCGAACCAAACGGATGCACTACGCACCGTCTGGATTTGGAGCAGAGCCACAAAAGTGGCATTTTGATTAGTCGGTGATCAGGATTACAAGGTACGTGAAGGTGAGGTGTCAAAAAGCCATTTGACACATGCCCCCACAGATCAGTTGCTATATCACAATTTTGCACAAAAATCTCTCTCCTCTTTTCTCTTTCTACTATCACTGTCAGAGCCTCGTGTGTGTGAGAGTGAGAGGGAGAGAGATGGAATTAAAAGTTAAAAAAACATCACCAACTGAAAATCTGCAAGTAAACGCAGTCCGAGCAAAACCCCACTAGTGACCAGTGAGCGACCAAACTAAACAATTCCAAGAATTTCAACGCCCGCTGCCACCATAATAATACCACTAGGACCAGCAGTCCGCAGACTTCCCAACTTGGTTTGTCACTAAACCCAAATCACGATGAGAAGAGAGTCCTCCTAAGCCTAACTCTCTTTCCCGAGTTGGTGCATAATTATCCTTCCAACTTCTCAACTTGTTACCTCGTGCTACGGAACAGTCGCGAAGGAAAAATGCGACATCCAATTTATGATGAAAAAAAGAAACAGTAATTAATTTTCTGCCACCCGTCTCAAATCCCCCCCGGCCTCACTCATCTGCTGTTTTAATTAATAGCTAGCGTCTAAGGATATAGGAACCAAACTATCCCCTTACAGATATCTACCTGTGCTTTTAATTTAACAGCCAAAATTAAGACGAAGAAAGAAATTTGCCAAAAGAAAAGAAACTAGACGGCAATGGCCTAGTGGGTAATTTCCGGGGGTCTAAGATTGACTGTTACTTGGGGTGTTTGAAAAGCAGTGCTGCTGTTATTTGGTACAGTTTATAGTTACCTTAATTAGCTGGTCGGTTTTCTTTAATTACTCTTTAATTGCTCCACATGTCTGTAGAAACGGTTGTAGGTAACATGCCAGCAGCCTCCAAACTCTGCAAGAACTCAGAGCCTGAGTTTTTTGTCATCATTATGATTATTTGGCTCGCACTCTCACGAACTGATTGCTTTTCGTCCTATCTAAAATCCCATTTTTGGGCTTTTCAAGAAACCCCTTCTGTCTCCTCTCTGCTTGCTTCCTTCTCACTATTTGGCCTTGGTGGGTCTTTCGCCAGTTATTGCTTTCATCTAACTTCCTCTCTTTTGTTATCCCTTTAAGTCATCAGAAGCCTTTACACAAATCATTTCATTAAGATGATGTTTACTGTTTGGATATTTTATTAACATTTTGGTGGGATTGGAGAATTGGTTCTGCGGTTGATTTCATATGGGATGGGAGTGGTGGTGCTGCAAGTTGTGTTCTCGGTGCTGAAGGTCACTGTCTTGGCTGCTTTCTTGGCGTTTCAAGGATCTTCTGGTAACTCTTTCTGAACTTTATTAATCTCAAACACCTTTACTCATGCGAAGAGAGAATTTAATTTGTCAAGTTACATTATTCGGTTGATTAAAATTTCGAATATGATGCTATAGAAGTGATGATTCTTGGCAATGTGTTGTTTGAAGTTTGGAATTTGGACGTATCATCCATTCCTGCAGCAATTGATTAAGAAACTGCTATCAAAAGTTGTCAATTAGGACAAATCTATTCTCTGCATCTAAAATTTTATAGATTATAGATGTAACGGTGACAGACAGAAAGTTAGGAGCTTGTGGGTTCCTAAATTGTAAAGGCACAAATGGACTTGCCTCAGTTTCGCTACTTTCATTATCTAAAACTGTGGTTAATGCGATATTATTTTCTAAATGGGACTCTTGTAGTCATCCCTTCTCAATTTAGAATTTTTTTTCCCTAATGCATCACAGTTAAGGTTGATTTTGTTTCCTACTTCTTTGTGTTGCCTATATATGTAGTTCCACCAAATCTCAGGAATCGCTGGCAAGCCATTAATGTAGGCTATAATACGATTCATCTTCTCTCTTCTTTTGTGATTTGGTAAGGATATTCTCTCTTTGATACTGAGTATAGGTTGACAGATGTTCAGTTGCCCTTCAAAGATAACAAACATTGACTTCTTCTACTTTCCTCTCCTCCTTGAGATACCGAGGACTCAACTTTAAGCTGTCTATATCCTACGGGCTGTCTGTAACTTGTTTCCTTGCCTTTGCATAACAATTTCCCAATCAAACTTACTCAACATCCTTAGATTGCAAATTCTAACATCTTACAGTATTCCTGTGGCTGCACGCATCCTATTCTCCTGGCACCCTATTTTTTCAGCAGAAGCCCAAAATTTTGCCATGCATATCTCTGTCATAATCTAAAATGAGTGCTATTTGGTTGGTAATGTCAACCAGTATTAGTGCAGCTTTTCCAGCTTTGCAGCTGTAAATGTTATCATCACATGTGTACTTCTAAAAAAAATTCTTCTGAACTGACTGACTGGTTGCGTTACCTCATATTTCAGGGTATAGCTTGCCTCCATCTCCATCAACATTTCCTGTATTTTCTCCAGGTGGTGATGCAATAGCTGCTCCACCGACCCCAGCAGGTCGCCCTAATGGTAGAATATCATGACTTACAGTAATATTGAAAGAGCTCTGATACTGAACTTCAATTTACTTAATGTTTTATGTCCATTCAGGGACATTTGTGGACCCTCCACTCTTATTGCCGCCTCTTAATTCTGCGTCCGCACCCCAAAAGGTGAAAGATCATATACCATCTCTTCCACCAAGTACTCTAGTTTTGTCGCCAAGTGATTCAATGCCGATCCCAGTAATTGCTAATGACACCGTCCCTCCATTGCCAACAGGTCCTGAAGCCTCAGGTACTTGTTAGCTAGACCTATCCTGTAACATCACTGGATCCCTGGTTGTTATTGGTTTTTCTTTTACACATGCAGCACCACGAGCATCTCCATCAAGAATATCTCCACAAAGTCCACCAACTAGCCTACCACTTGTACCGGAATCCGTTCCTCCAAAACCTGCTCAAAGTAGGGCTCCTGAAGCTCCTTTTATGGCAACTGCCCCAGGTAGCTGGTAGATAATTTATTTCCCCTCCCACAAATAATTTATTGTTGAACATTTCATACTAAATCCTGCACCTATTTCTGTGTCAAACGTAGCATCCAACACACATGCATCAAAGAGAGCACCACAAAATTCACTGCCCCCTGGGATATCATCATCCATTCTTCCTGGTACTCCTAGCTACTTATCTTTTTCTGCAATATTCTTTTTGAAATGAACATTTGGTGATCACTATTTGTCTGAATGCTGCAGTGCCAGTTGGACTGTCTCCGGGCAAGTCACCAGGGAACCCATTATCTATTCCACCAGCATTACCCAAAGAACCTCCTTCCACTTCGTCAGGTGATACTTGAGTTGATACATACTAAAATTATTAAAATATTCAAATATTTTTTACTTCCTGTTGTGCTGGCGGATATACTCTCTTATTAATTACTTGACAGAGATGTTATTTATGCAATTCACACAAATACTTTTGGACCTTTAAAGAGAAAAGTGCACCAGCTTGTTCAACTTGAAAAAGAAAATCAAAGATGGAAAAAAGGAAATCCTCAAAAGTGAGTTTTGTGTTTCAAATTTGAGGGAATGCCTTCATTCTGTTCTAGTTTTGTGAAGGAGTGTGCACAATTTTCTTGTATTAAAATTTATGTTCTAACCTACAAAAGTATCAAATTCCTAACAAGAAAAAAGGAATAAGACAACCATCTCTGAGTGAAAAGGAAGTGCGTATGAGGAACTAAAGCCTACTAACAAGTTGCTTCCAGTTATATTTTACACGATGACACCGCTTGTAGGTCTTTATGACTTAGATGTGCAGCTGCTGCATGTAACAGGGATTGATATTGGGTTGAAAGTTTCTATCTGCTGATAATTACAAAATAGTTCTCATTTTGAGCTGTATTTCTTGTAGCTGAAAACTGAGGAGACATATAAACATTAGCATGGGTTTATTCTTCTATTCAGTGTTTGTGTTTTTTTTAAAGGACAGGATTCCTTAAGTTCCATTACAGAGATATGTTTAATGATAGTCTGGGTTTACATTTTGACGATTATATTGCAATTATGAAGTAGCTCTGTTACCTAATTGATATCTTGTATACATCCCTCATATTGTGCAGAGCCTGATACAGCTCCTGCATCATCTCCTGTTGCCACACCACCAAATGGAACAAGCACCCAGCAGTCGCCTGTGAGCACTTCACCAGCAAAAGGTGAATATAAAACTTCTGATTTCTCAATGACATTTTCTGATAAGTAGCCAGAAATGCTAGAGATATCTATAAATGATTTTTTACTTTGTCTTAGCTCCATCTGTTCATGATAATATGGGGAATTCCGATAATGCTCCTCCTCCTCTTCCATCCCGCAATGCTCCTGTAGTTTCAGGGTCCAACTCCCCTGCATCTCAACCTTCTTCTTCATTTCAATGGCATCATGGGAAGAATTATAAGAGAACTCCTGCTCCATCAGTATATATGGCTCCTCCTCCTGCTTCGGCTGTAGAAGGTATAAAAGTCTCAAACAATGTTCCTGTCCTGATTTTTAACTCCTACCTATCATCTATTTTTCCTTCTCAATTTGTTGTAAATGTTGGCCCACAAATTAGCTCCTCCTGATAATTCAAGCTCAGACCCGAAGACTGACTTTAGGTTCCATGCTCCTCCACCCCTAAACCTAGGTATTAAAATTGCTGGTTTGCTATGAAACCCTGAAAATGATTTTTTACTTTGTCTTAGCTCCATCTGTTCATGATAATATGGGGAATTCCGATAATGCTCCTTCTCCTCTTCCATCCCGCAATGCCCCTGTAGTTTCAGGGTCCAACTCCCCTGCATATCGACCTTCTTCTTCATTTCAATGGCATCATGGGAAGAATTATAAGAGAACTCCTGCTCCATCAGTATATATGGCTCCTCCTCCTGCTTCGGCTGTAGAAGGTACAAAAGTCTCAAACAATGTTCCTGTCCTGATTTTTAACTCCTACCTATCATCTATTTTTTCTTCTCAATTTGTTGTAAATGTTGGCCCACAAATTAGCTCCTCCAGATAATTCAAGCTCAGACCCGAAGACTGACTTTAGGTTCCATGCTCCTCCACCCCTAAACCCAGGTATTAAAATTGCTGGTTTGCTATGAAACCCTGGGTCTTATTTCCTTTTATTTGTTTTCCTCTGATGTCCAACAACCTTTGCTCTACAGGATCCTCAACACCCTCATCTCATTTTCCCTTTCCTACACCAAAAAGCCATGATTCTTCCTCGCCATCACCACATCCTTCATCTTCATCTCAACAAAGTAAGTTAAAGGCTATCTCATGTTTTTCATTGTTGTATAAGGAACGCTGGCAAAGTTTGACGTTAAGATTTGTTAGTTTTGAATGCTTATCTATGATCATCCTTGTGGACTGCCAGTGCCAATTCATTCCCCGAAAATGTCTCCCACAAGACCTATGCCAAGGATGCCAAAGATGCCTCTCCAGCCACCTTTGCAAGCATTACCACCTCCACCACCTAATGGAGGTACTTCTTTTCCCTTATTCCTTCTGTTGTTCATCTGGTTTAGCAATCTATTTATGAAAGTTGGTGCTAGAAATTTGTAAACCAATTTTATTTTGTAGATTGCACATCATTGACGTGCTCAGAGCCATTGACAAATGGTGCTCCTGGATCTCCATGCGTTTGTGTCCTACCTATGCAAGTTGGACTCCGCCTAAGTGTTGCGTTGTACAATTTCTTCCCTTTAGTTTCAGAGTTCGCAGCAGAAGTAGCTGCTGGAGTGTTTTTGAAGCCAAGTCAAGTTCGGATTATGGGGGCAAACGCTGCCAGCCAGGATCCAGAAAAGACCATTGTCCTCACTGACTTAGTACCCCTGGGAGAAACATTTGATAATACCACAGCTTATCTGACATTTCGAAGATTCTGGCTCCAAGAAGTTATTATACAAACTTCACTCTTTGGAGACTACGAAGTGCTTTATGTACATTATCCAGGTAACGATGTCAGGCTGCCTGCATCATATTCTCTTTCACATTTGTGGTTTGATCTTGATATTAAAATGAAGGGCACTAAACCTGTAGGTCTTCCACCCTCTCCACCTTCTGCATCTTCTGATATTGGTACTATAGAAACTGACCCTTATTCTAGTCGCAACAACAATGGAGCGGCCATAAAGCCATTTGGGGTTGATGTGGGAAGACAGCATCACAGAGGTGGGCTAAGTCGAAGTGTGATAGCAATTATAGTTTTGTCTACCTCTATAGTTGTAATTTTCTGCTGCGCTATTGCATGGGTATTGGTTTTAAAACACAGAGAGCAGCTCTGCCCTCCAGACTCTACTCCACCGGCTACTATGCCTTCCCTTGCAAAATCATCAGGTACTATCTTGATCTCTAAGATTGACCTCATATGAATGCTTATGATCTCAAGAAAGCATCTTCTGTTAGAACCATTGGATAAGCTCATGAGCTATTTTAGAAGTCTACTTAACTAGTCCCACGAAAAATAAAAACTTAGGGAACCTGTTGGCTGTTTTTGTGGTCAGCTGGAGTGTATCAGGATTGGTTTTTTCCTTTAGGTACCACACAAATACCAAGTCCTTTAGGTACCACACAAACATTCTTGAAATTCTGAATACCCAATTGCATAACAAAATGTTTTTAAGTCTTTACTAGTTATCCTAGGCAGCAGATAATACATTATTGTACTTGTTAATCATTAAATGAGCATATCATTGAGGCCCCAGAAGTTCCGGGTTCAATTCCCCTCCTTCCCCTTCCCTTCTTCTAAAATCCCACCCTTCCCCTGCTAAAAAAATATAATAAAAATTAAAAAAAATGAAAAAAAGAGCATATAACAACATAGCATGGTCATATGGAGAAACTAAGAGTCATCAAAAAATTGTAACAAGAACACATAACAATTGACCCATTGAAGCAGAAAAATAGCTTAGTACTCAAAGTTTGCTGTGTCTAATGTAGGGATTCCTGCCTCTATGATTGGAAGTGGGCCAAGTTCTGCTTCGTTATCTTATGGTTCTAGCATTGCAGCATATGCTGGTTCTACAAAATCTTTTAGTACATGTGATATAGAGAAAGCAACAGATAACTTCAGTGAAACAAGAATACTTGGTGAAGGCGGCTTTGGTCGTGTTTATAGTGGCGTGCTTGAAGATGGGACACATGTGGCTGTAAAAGTTCTAAAGCGAGCTGACCAGCAGGGAGGTCGTGAGTTCTTGTCGGAAATAGAGATGCTTAGTCGCCTTCATCACCGAAACTTGGTCAAGTTGATTGGTATATGTACAGAGGAGCGAACTCGTTGCTTAATCTATGAACTCATACCAAATGGCAGTGTGGAATCTCATCTGCACGGTAATATTATCTTCTGTTTATACAAGTTCCAACCTTGTTTCCTGGCTATATTTATATGCTTTCTTTGCTTGCTCTCAGGAGTTCACCAGGAATATGCTCCTCTTGATTGGGGTGCTCGGCTTAAGATAGCTCTTGGTGCTGCTCGTGGTCTGGCCTATCTGCATGAAGATTCGAGTCCACGAGTCATACACAGGGACTTCAAGTCCAGCAACATCTTGTTGGAACATGACTTTACGCCTAAAGTCTCTGATTTTGGTTTGGCTCGAACTGCATTGGATGAGGAAAATAAACACATTTCGACACGTGTAATGGGAACCTTTGGGTAAATTTCCCTGCTTTTGACTTGCTGTAGCTAAATCATTCCCCTGGGCACCTTTTCTTTAAGTCGACTTGGTATGAACCCTTGGATGACCTTATCTGAACATTTTTAGGGCAACTTTATGGTTAGATTGATGGTGTTATATCCCTCACATTATCTTTTAATAACTTTGTGTGGTTTCAAGTTTTCAAACCTTGGAATGCTAGTACAAAATTGAGGCAATTTGAATCAGTTGTCCTCTGCCAGTGTTATATGTTTCATTTCCATTGGTGAAGTTTCTTGGTGCCACATGGTTCTGAACCCACCTTCTGTCCAACTTCATTCCTTTCAGTTACAATGAACACTCAGACTTGTGACTTGTCTAATATGTAACATAGATGCAGCAGCAGCAGTCATCAGTTCACCCACTCTGTGTTTCCTTTTTATTTGTTGTTCTTAAGATTCAGTTTTGACATCATTTAGTGACATAAACAGAGTTTGGTTTTATTAATGTACCAGGTATGTCGCTCCAGAGTATGCAATGACCGGTCATCTGCTTGTGAAGAGCGATGTTTACAGTTATGGGGTTGTACTTCTTGAGCTGTTGACAGGTAGAAAACCAGTAGACATGTCTCAACCACCTGGTCAAGAGAATTTGGTTTCTTGGGCCCGCCCAGTGCTTACGAGTGAAGAAGGTTTAGAATCCATCATAGACCCAACTTTGGGCCCTGATCTTCCATTTGATGGTATCTCAAAGGTAGCTGCGATTGCTTCAATGTGCGTTCAACCAGAGGTATCAAACAGACCATTCATGGGTGAAGTTGTTCAGGCACTCAAATTAATATGCAATGAGTGTGATGAAACGAAAGAAATGGGGTCCAGAAGTTGTAGTCAGGAGGATCTGTCTCTAGACATGGATACTGGGATTTCTAACACTTTAGACCCCTTGGGAGTTCCTTTACATGGTCAATCCCCAGTCTCTCATTATGGTCAATCCCCAGTCTCTCATTATGATAGTGAGGTAGATGTTGAAAGGGGAATATCTGTATCAGATTTATTGAGCTCATCGGCAAGATATGCGATGCAAGATTCTGGGCCACTAGGGAGGCGCTCAGGTTCAGGGCCTTTAACATTAGGAAAAGCAAGGCAGCTATGGCAAAAGATGAGGCGATTATCTGGGGGTACGGTGAGCGAGCATGGTTTGATGTTCAAGTCATGGCGTGGATCTCGGTGACAATTATTTTCTGTTGCGATGGACAAAATTCATCTGCAACAATTATTTGAGAAGTTGTGTACAGGATATCAGATAATTAGACGCAGTACAAGATGATCAGTCAGTAAGGATCCGTTTAGTGAATTGCTTGGATAACTTCATCAGTTGCCCAAAATAAAGGAGACGAGGGAAGAATACATTTTTTTTGTTTCTTCGACAATGGATGGTTGTGTCGGAACTCCTGCGCACCATCAAATGTAAATGTAATTGAAATGAGCGGTGACATGTATCTGAATTTCGACAAAATACTTGAAACGGCGAAATAGATTTTCTTGTGGAGTGAGCATTGCAGTATGATGATGCCTATTGTTTTACGGTGCACTATTTTGCAGAGAAACGCCCCCGAATTTCTGCCATTTTTGGATCATCAGAAGACTGTTCTGCGATGAAAGGTTAATCTGCACGTTAATTGTACAGAATAGTTTGTATCCCATGTTGGGAAATGCATATGCTGGTGGTTTACTTTTTGGATGAAGCAAATGATTGTCTGCTAGATGACAGGAAAACCGGTGATGAAGCAATGAATTCATAAGGGCAAAATAGATACCACAAGAACTGATCTCACAATCTGCTAAACTGAGCTCAACCCATCCCACGGTTGTGGTCAGTGGATCATCCATCCCATTCAAGTCAAACCTAAAACAGTTACCCTCCATAAATCTACATCAGTCCGGGCAACTGGGTTCGAACCTCTAGGACTGCACTCGAACCTACCTCCCAGGACATCCGCCAGTTGCACGGGACTTACCTAATGTGTTTTATCCCCTAAGCGTCTTATCTTTCTGCCTGGTTGGCAGGCTGCGATCCAGCACAAATGTCTATCGCACGTGACTTGCTTGCCTAGTGCGTCTTATTCCTCCGTTAATTTTTTTACAAAAAAATTTAGAAAAATGCAATCCAGACAAAGCCTTAGTTTAGCGTTAAATGCATCCAACTATTGTAGAGATAATCTCCGATTCCAATTATTCCTACAAATTTAATAAAAATTTTATCTTGCGATATATAGAATAAATTCAAATTTTTAGTTGTTCACAAATTAGAAAAGAAATGAAAATAAAAACATAAATTACCTCCAAAAACTTGAGGCAATAGTAAAAAAGAAAGAAACTAAGAGGAGGTTGTTTCCTCCATTGTATCATAATCTGGCCGCATGAGGCTTTTCAAGAGCACCAATAGTATTTGCCTAAATTAGTATTCTGATCAAAATGTTTAAATGATCTCAAAAAATATATAGATATATATTTAGGAGGCTCATATTTTGGACGGCCGAAATATATCACGCGGCTCAGAATACATCTGTCTTAATGCTCGTAAACCCAGACGCAAAGTCTTCATTACTCTCAGGGTCTTCCATCCGTCTGGCGCTCAAAGGCAAGAAGAAGCAGAAGATCCCATCGCCTTACTCCTCCAGTTAAAGAAGATGGTACTATCTAATTCTTCCTCTTGCACTCTCTCTCTCTCTCTCTCTTGCACAAATCAAAATCTACATTTATCAGATTTTTAGGGAATTTATTTCTAATTTCGTTTTATTTTATTTTGTGATAAATTTTTGTTTTGGGAAAAAAGGCTCAATCAGTGAAGCCGATCTCGAGCCCAGTCCCGGAGCCGTGGTACCCAACCCTGGCCGTCCTAATGCTCGCCGTTGGCCTGATCGTCGCTGCGTCCTTTTTCATGTAAGTTTTTAGTTGACTTTTGTAGAACTCTTTACTGCACCTCAACAGTGCTATCTCAAGTGAATTTTGGGTATGCTCTCTGATTGGTGTTTGATTTGCATTTATCTATAATCTATCAGGTAGATTGGTCATTCTTTTTTGCTTTTCCGCGGCTTTTTTTTTTGGTTTTTTTTAGGGGGGGGGGTAGGTTACTGAGATTAAATTTCTTTTTTTTTTTCTGCTAATTTGAATAACCTAATAATCTTAATCGGTCGACATGTCCTGTTAATTTCTTGTTTTTGATGGTTGCATATTTTTCTTTTTTGTTTTAATTTGATCTCTTATAGGTGAATGAACCCCGTAGATTGTATGTGTTGATGTTATGTGATGGAAACCTGGGTTTCTAGCTGCCAGCGCCTCCTTTCCCCCGGAAAAAAGAAATCATTTTCAGTATGCTCATTACCTCGTGCCAGTGGAACAAACAAATTAGATTGTGCTCGTTTCTACATGTTTTATTGGTTCTTTTGTTTTTGCATTTGATAATTGGAGTATGGTATCATGAGTTGTTTTAAGTGTTTTTTGTGAAAACAGACTATTTTCGCAGTTTCTTTGTAGAGTAAATGTGGGTGGAACAAAGTTGAGAGGTTACAAATTGAGAAAGCCCCAGAGTATACTAGACTTTTCATTCCTCTGCTGCCGTTGTGATTCTCATTTAAATGAGATGTTATGGCTATCGAAAGGATCTTAGTTTATCTTACTACTGGAATTGCTCTTTGGATACATTAAGTGGCTTGTGTCTTTGTTTTACAATTTCTTCCGTGGCTGGCAGTTCATGTTTTCCTCTCAATTACATTGCCAAATGTAAGTTTGTATCCCCTTGCTTGTTGCTATCTGAGAAAAGTAATGCACAGTTGCTGCTTGTTATATGCCCAGATTGAAATCTGGATCTCATGGTAGACAACAGCCATAATCAAAAGTACACATCATTAGTTGCCGGTAAAGTTTGTTCTATTTTTGGGATCTTGCAGTCTTAGCTTAAATCAGAACTTAGTTAATGCTTTGCTCCTCCCTAATTCTAGAAAACCATCTACACTAGTAATGTGCTATTTTTGGCACCACCTTGCTGTAAATGCATGTCTTGCAGCTGAAATTTCTGTTGAGCCACCAAGGATGAAATCTAGCTTCATTACTTATATCAATGTTGTTAATAATATGTAATTTATTTCTGAAACTTCTTTCTTGGAAAATTTCCATGACAATTCAACAATTCCTTAATGTTGTGTATGGGCTAACTTCCTTTGTGATTGGGTTGATACTATGAGTCACAAATGATTAAAGCTAAGTGGATGGCTGCAATATGAACGTTGTAGACATCTTTGTAGACATCTTTACCAGGCATTTGATATATTTTTATTTGGGTTCGTTTTTGCAATTCTGCACCTTTTAGATTAGATCTTTCTAAATCTCCACGGGTCACATGTCTGCTCCTCCTCTTTTTTTTTTTTTTTCTATAACAAGTTGTGAACGTCTATGCAGTTATGAAGCTACCTCTTCAAAGAAGAATCGTAGTCTTGCTAAGGAGCTCACTACTGGGGCAGTGGCATCTGTCTTCTTGGTACGATCGAGATCCATTAAACTTGTATTTTCACTTTTAACTTTCATGTCTTCTATGTCTCTAATAAAATTCCCTTCATATGTTGCAGGGTTTTGGATCGTTGTTCTTGCTACTTGCTTGTGGGATTTATGTTTGATTTCTTTATGTTAGATGGCTTAAAATTTTGTTAAACCAAATGAGCTAGTTGGACGATAATGTTTTTGTGACATTGTTGAAACTTGTACTTTCTCAGTTAAAAGGGAATTCGTATAACCTGGTTAGGGATTAATTTCACTATTTTAGTTTTGTTCGACATTCCAGAATGTGGATGAGAAACTCCAAATTAATTTTTTTTCCTTTGTTTTGGAGTTGTGGGAATGATTATGTCCTGGAACACCGATCTATTGAGGAAAAACTTGAAGCTGTTGTATGATATTGGATCTTCCCCTCCAACGCGACAGAAAAGGTTGCATTGAAGATTGGATCACTTAAATTTTTTTTTTTGTCATCATCATTTTATTTATATTATCATATTCTGTCTTAATTTAAAAAAGGTGGTCCAACTAGCCTTACGGAAAATTGATGGGAATTAAATTATCATTGAATTGCATTCGTCTTGATTTTTTTTTTCTAGAGGGGTCACGTATTGTGACAATTAATATGAAGCAAGATTTGAACCTGACCTCCCATTTCACCAAATGTTAACCAAATTTTAAGGACTTGGTGGTCGATAGCCCGAAGTTTGGATTGGTTAATTGGAAGTAGTAATGGTCGAAGCGACCGTTGTAGAAGTGGTAATTGCATTGCATGGATATGCTCTAATTTCAACCCAATGGGTAACATCTTTGGTGCTGAGTTTTCGTTGTTTTCTTTTCTGTTTTTTTTTTTTTTTGGTGGAATTAACTCTGTACAGAGTTGCAGTTTTAATTATAAATTGAAGATATTATGCAAACCACTTTGAGGTAATTATTTTGTTTGGATTAACCAAATCATTGAAAAATATAAACGTATCATAATTATGAGTCTTCAATTATTCTATATATATATTTTTTGTAAACTCTCAAAAAAATAGAATCTATTCTAGGCCCAAATCCACCTATGAATTAAATCGGAATTCAGTCTACACCTATGAATTAAATTAGAAGCACAAACTTTCAGAAGATGAGAAAAAGAAAAAGAGGAAGAACAAAAAGGTAAAGAATACTACTAATACTACCAATAGGTTTAAACCAAAAAAAAAGAGGAAAAAGAAAATCATACAAATGGGTAGGCGCTGCAGATGAAGTGTTAATGCGGCGGGTTTTGCTCCGGGCCTAACGCGCTGATGCTACGTTCGGACTAGTGACTGGTAGTGGGGCGTTCCGGCCCAAAAGGACGCTGCAGAGCTTTTACTCTACTCTCTACTCGACTGACTACTCTCTACCGTCTTCTACACCATCCATCCAGATCAGTGACAGAAAAGAAGCGCGGTTTTTTTTTTCCCCAAAGATTTTTTCCCAAAGATTCCAGACATATAGAATTAATTTACAGCTTACGGGATGGGAGATTACACCTTTACTCTGTAGGTCCGACTCCATCACTTCACTACCCTGATTGACTGAGAGGGGGGAGTGAGAGAAAAAGAGACACCGTTTTTTTTTTCCCAAAGATTTTTTTTTTTTTGGAAATAATTATTAAGTAGTACTGGTAGTATTAACTTAGAAAAACCTCACTTCGCCAATGGAGACGGTTTCTCCTCCGCCGAGCCAGCCGAAGAAGAGAGGTCGACCTAAGGGCTCTACTAAAGCCAAAGCCGACACCGACAGAGAAGCCTCCGCTGCTGCTTCTGGTGGAGTCCCCAGGATGAGAGGCGCCGACAAGCGCAGCTCCTCTTCTGACGAGAAGTATTCTCAGTGGAAATCTCTCGTCCCCGTTCTCTACGACTGGTTGGCTAATCATAACCTCGTCTGGCCTTCTCTCTCTTGTCGGTGCGTTCTTTTGCCGCGTCCCTTGCTTTCTTCTTTTCTTTTTCTTTTTTTTTGTGGGGGGCCCTAGGGTTTTTCCGAGGGTTAGGGTTTTACATTTGTTTGTGGAAGATGACAGAGTGCACTCTTGGCTTTTACTGTGAAATGTGATATTACGCTCCCAGATTCGCGCTGGGAAACCTGCATTTTTTTTTTCTTCAGCTGATATTTTCAAAGGGGGGGGGGAGTATGAATCCATTATCTAGCCTTTAGCATTATTGTTCACC